GCCAATAATGTGGGCATATTAGGACACATCAGTACTAATTCTGGCTAAACTAAAAAATGATACAAGATAAATTCTGGAACAGCTGCAAAATGAGAAGACAAGATGTTTCATTATAACAAAATTGGAAATTCAAAATCATACGTTCCATTCTTCTCCTGCCAAACTGTTCACAATTTAACATAAACTGAAACTGAAAAGCTAGTCCCTCTTCCAAACCCTAATATTAATCTCAGACTTTTTCCTCCTCCCCACACCCAGTTGAGGACATGAAAAAATGACAGCGTGTACTTTTTTTCTTCTCCTTCAACTCCAACAAGAAAACTAAACTAAACTACTTTTTTCTGGATGAAGTCTCTAAAGTTTAATCTAATGTCTTCAGGTTCATAGGCATTCCATGTAACTCAAGGCATACTAAGTCAGGACCTCTCCTTTCTAGCCAATGGAAATATAAGTTAGCAATGCAATGCTGAAGGGCTTCTCTCCCAGTGAGAAGCCTAAAGTTAAGTGGGACCAATCTGACATACCAGGACTGTCCTGCGACAGCTGTAGCTACACTCAACACAAGAGTTTGTTTGTGCTTTTGCAAATGGTACTAGCTACACTAAGAAACGTTGATAAGAGGACCAACTAAAATACTTAACATCAGACATTAATTTACATTTGAGCTCTCAGCAAGTCATCTCTCTCAATTGTTATCCTGTAGGAGAAGGGATATATGTTTACATACAATTTTCTAAACAACTCCTCAAGCCATTGCATGATCAGCAAGGCTCACGTAGACTCCTCTCCTACTGAGTCCTCTAGCCTCCCCATAACCTCAGCCATTTCCCACATGGCCCCACTCTCCCCACAGCTTACAAGAACACTTCCCTCTCCCTCTCACTGGTGTCCCCAGATGACTGATTTGGGGTTGCTTGGTTTGGAGCTGCATGCGTCCTGACCCACTGGCACGGTAACAGCCGAGCCTTTTTTCAGTCTAAGCACAAATTTTGATGTCTCTCAGAGGAGTTACTGGCAGCATGAGGTTTACTAGTTTTAACATATATTTTGGTAAGGCAACAGCTTCAAAGAATGTTTAGATATACCAAATCCCACAGTCTAGCTTGGTAATGAAATGAAACTTCCCTTTAGAGAAGTTGCCAGCTGTAGTTAAGACATGTTACAAAAAGCCTTAATCCTAAACCTTTTTTAATTAGGTATTGACCTTTACATAGTGACCAAAACTAGTATTAGTCTTCCCAGAGTCAGAGATATTTAGCTGCCTAGAAATAAGGTCAGGACGCTATTTTAAGTTAAGCAGTGCCACTCTCCCAGGCCCTTATTTAGACATACTTCTCTAAAAAAAAAAAAAATTGTTGTGTCTTCATTTACTTTGACATGAGCTATTAGAGAGCAACTGCCAAAGAAAAATGTTACTGTCTTGCAAACAACACAACTGTACTTTTTCCGTGTCTTATTCTTCAAGTGTTACTCCGTATCAGGCATCTTCCCGATAAAAAAAAAAAAAAAAAGACAAAACAGCACATGGTTTTAACAGCCAATATGCAAGTAGCACCTAAGTATGTAGCACACAGAAGCCAATTCAGGCATAAACTATTCATGGGCTCTTTTTATTTCAGTAAAACTAAAGCTTACAGATTCTTAACTCATAGCCATTCAGAAAGACACCCATAAAAAGTTGTATTAATAAAAACTGACAGGCTTCCAGGCCTCTAAAATATTTCAAACATAAGATACAATAAAAGATATCAAATGTTTATATTACAGTCTTGCTGCCTTACACACCATCATAAAAAGTGAACAAACACATTCAGTAACTTCAAGCATACCATGAAAAAGACACCAGTAAGTGCTCCAGTTTTCTGTACCATACAACTTTATTTCAAATTCACATCTTTCTAGGCAATGTATCCAAAATATTTGACTCAAGAGTACCTTTAGACTGTAAATATTCTGAAACAGGGCATCAAGCCTTTCCTATCTCCGACCAAAACTTAAGTTTTAGCTCATGTTATAAAAAGTAACCATGTGGAATGTGACAAGTCATAATGTGAAATCAAAGTGCTTTAGCCCCATAGCGCAGACAGACACTAGTGGTTATCTAGCCATTCGCCAATACATCTCAAACACCAACAGAGATGTTTGCTCTGTTGCACCCCACCTTGCAAAGAGCTTTGGACCATTATGGTGAAATTGCATTAATCGACAGCTAAACAGTATGAGTGGACCAACAGTTTGATACTTCAAATAATGAGTTATAAACGAGGCATCTTTTTACCATTTTTTAAGTTCCCTTAGTAATTACCAAAGTTCTACTGTATTATGCAAGAAAAAACTATGTTCCAGTTAGTCTTTTAAAATCCAAAGTGTGCTGTATTCCAAATCCCAAAGCATCAAAACCCTCAAATCATTTCCCCAGACCCCAACAACTATCTAAGACTCAGTATTTTTGTGCAATTCTTTGCTATTTGCACGTGAAGAGAGAAACACTTCACCCAACAGTTCATATGAAAGAATTATAAACTCTCAAAGCAGAAAGTTACTTTAACGAGGTTTGGACATAGGTAGTTGCACGGAATATGTGCTCAATTCAGAAGTGGCTATGCTGAAGACGGCTCATGTTGCTAGTGCTCAGTCAGAAACTTCCTTTCTATGGAAGTCTAAAAAGCTATTTATCTTCCAGAGTGAAGGAAGTTTAAGACTTAGGCATTTAATTCTCTTCTCTGTTACAAAAGAATTAGCTCTACAGTATAATTCGTATGATTATTCCCCCTCCCCTTTCAGACACCCCATTTTTGTACAAGCGTAAACAGGAAGGGCTTAGGGAAAATTTCTGGTCCTGTCCCACAGACATAAAGACAAAGTGCTTTGCAAGACTGATTTTATCCATCACATTTGTGGCAACCAACCCAAAATGAAGGCACGTGAAATCTATAATAATATAGCTTATAAACTAAAGCTGAACCTCTGTATAATTTCTAGCCTTTTTGCACAAAAGTAATGACCAGCACCTATGCAGAGATTCAATTTTTTTTTTTTTTCCATGTAACTTTTCCCAGAAATAGTTAAGTGTTGCTTGAATGCCTAGGCAAATACTGTCATTTATTAGGTTTTGACACAAAGTGCAGAGATTGGTAATTTATCTGCATGGGAAGTCTGAAACCAGTGAATCACCAGCACTGCCTTCCTCTGTCGTTACAAGAAATGTAAGCCACCAGCAACAGCCACAGAGAGCTGTTACCTTGAAAGTGCGCAACCCCCAGCAGCAGTTTCCCTGTGAGGTGTTCTAGAGCTTGTGGTATGCATTTAATCAGTGTCTCAGATTTGGATTTTAACACGTCAAAGCCTGTCTACTTTTGGTTAGTTACCGGCCAGACATGCACACACATTCTGAAGAAGCCAACTGAAAACAAGCTTTGACAAAAGTTGCATTGAAATTGGCCGTACCTTAACTTCTAAGCACAGATGAACTTCTAGCTTGAGCAGCATTCAGGGTCAGCTCAATACCTCATTCTTAAGGAAAACCGAGTCTGGATACAAATCTGCCTCCTAGATTTCACTGGAATTGCTACCTTTAAAGCAGAAAAACAAGATTCAAGGTTTCTGAAAGCTTTAGCAGACGGATAGGCTCGTCAATCAGATTAAGACTTACTGGGTTGTTAAACAACAGTTCAAAGCCTTGCTTATCACTTCTCTAGAAATACAGGTTTAAAAGAACTCAAACACCATTGCCATCGCTTAACTAGAATATGTCATTATACTGCTTTCACTCAGGATGATAAACAGGGATAGAGTTTCAAAGTTCTAGTTATTTACCTCGCATGTGAATTTACACACCCTCTGTCATTTTTCTGCCCTCTTGTTCATTTCTTTTGCCATTTCTGCACAAAGTCAGTTGAAGGGATTGGCACACAAGTTACTAGCAAACACAGGCCTGTAGCTATTACATTACAGGACCATATTAGAGTTTCATGAAGACTTCATGCAATGGTGTCTGTGCTCTTTTCTAAAAGAGAACAACTTTCACAGGTAGCACATAACAACACAACTTTCTGGTTTTAAATGCAGCGAGTTACACAAACAACATTAACAAGAATTGACCAGACTTAATAACTGGAACTGCGCTAGGTCTGGCACTTGAGAATTCACAGTGATTAAAATAAAATTGCTTTGCCTAAGAGAAAACATAAGATACCAAATATATAAAAAGACTCTTTGCTTCCATTATCTTGTATTAGTATTCCAACAGCAATAAGCAAGCTCAGTAGTACCTCAGACAGCAGAGACTTCTGCACATGGTCAACTTTATTCATTGTTTGCAGTGCAATGGATTTTTTTTTTTTTTTTTTTTTTTTACATATTCACGATGTCAAATCAGGCAATTTTCAATGAATAAAGTCAACATAGGCTCAAGTCTTTGCTGGATTGAAGCTTGGATTCTGACAGGAAACCGTTATCTACCATCTCATTTTGGGTACCCAACTCCACACTGTGCCAGGTGGTATTGCTGTTAAAGAGAAACTTAAAGTATGTTTGCATATTACTGAGGCGTTGTTCTTACATAGCAAGTTGTTTGTAAGTAGTTTATAGTACCAGTTGATAAGAGTAGGACATTTGGACTTTTCCTTTCCCCACTCAACTCGCTAATCCTAGCGGACTCACTAACACAGGTTTCCGATCCCAAAGCCTGCTTTTAGAGAGAAAGGAGCACACCTTTTAAACACCCCAGCGTTTCTCAACGCACCCGCAGCCTCTCATTTCAGCACTGAGGGCCGAGCCAAGGCAGCTGCTCTCGGGAGTTGGAAGCCACCAGAGCCCTGTTGACCCACCGGACTCACTGACCCCACCGAACTGAGAGTTGAAGGAAGATACTCGGGACCCATCTGCCCAGAGTCCACGAGTGTAGATGAGCACCCGCTTGTACCTGCCTCACCTTCCGTGCTACACCCTAGGGCACTTTGGTCCGTGCGCCCACCTCCCAGACCTCCAGCTCCCCGGCCTTATCCAAAGACATTGGACTTTGGCCTGAGCTTGAACGACGCTTTCAGGGATTTCTCCTCATGCTCTTCTTCCTCGGTGTCACCACGAAAGGAGGGCGTGTTGTGGATGATCTGAGTCCTGAAGCGGATCTTATTAAGCCGAGGCTTCATCCGCCCGCTGCCGGAGGCTTTCCTGGTCATCTCCTTGCCCTTGCCTGCCACCGCTGCCCCTTCGGTGCCCTCAGCTTCCTCCCCAGTGCTGTGATGATGGTGGTGGTGGTGGTGGGAGAGCCGGTAGCTCATGAGATTGGCGGGCAACACCTTGGAGAGCCTCCAGCGCCCGCTCCCGTTGCCGGCCGCCCCTTCCTCCTCCTCCTCCTCCTCCTCCAGGGCCCCCACGAGGCTCCGCATATCCCCCGAGGTGCCCTGGTGCAGGTACTGCGCGGCCTTGCGCCCGCTGTAGTCGCGGATGTCCACGTCGGCGTCATAGGCTCCCACCAGCAGCTTCACCACTTCGGCGTGCCCGTGCATGGCGGCTATGTGCAGGGCGGTGTGCCCGCCGCTGGTGCGGGCGTTGATGTCCACGGGCAGCTGGTGCCGCTGGGCGAAGTTGACCAGCGTGGCCAGCAGCTCCTGCCGCCCGTGCTTGGCGGCCCAGTGCAGCACCGTGAAGCCGGTGATGAAGTCCCGCTTGCAGAGAAGCGCCGGCTCGCAGCTCAGCAACCCCTCCAGGCTCTCCCACCTCCCGTCCGAGGCCGACAACATCCACGCGTGCTCCAGGGGATCCAGGGCCACGGAACCGGTGGTGCTCCCTTCCTCCTCGGCGGAGGACGAGGCCACCGAGGCGCTGTCCGAGTCGCCGCCGCCACCAGCGCGGCCACCGCGGCCCCCTCCGGGGAGAGC